GTAGGTACACTCTTAGTTTATGCTGCTCTGTGCTGTTTGTCTGTGTGTGCTAAAAGGGAGGGAAGAGTGTCTGTTCCCCTATTCCCAGGCACCTTCTTGCAGCTGCAGGTATCTCCCCTGTGCATACTTCTAGCTTCCCTATCTTAGTATGCCTAAAGAAAGGGAAAGAGATATGAAGGCCCACTGTTTTTACTGGGGCCCATCGTATGTATGTGAAGTTTGATGGTTACCTAGGAAACTCCCCACTCTGTGCCTGAGTTGCTTATATCTGTTTTACAGCCTGATCTTCCAGGCTGCTTTGTTAGAAAGGAAGTGATTTCTTTGAACTGCTTGAGGTTAAAAAGGGAGCTATTTCTGGGCTGCTTTCTGTTAGAAGGAGAGTTTTCTGCGTGGGACTCTCCCTAACTCTCTACCTAAATAATTTCTATCACCTATAACACAAAGATACTGGACCAAGTATACTCAGTTCCTTTTCCCAAGATCACCAGTCAGATAAGACACTCTCTTATCTGATAAGTCACTCTCTTACAAGCTGAGTATGAGAGGAGACTAGTGGCAAGAGGTGCCCGGTCTCTAGTCTATAATTTCTGTCCATACTCTCAAATGAGTCCAGTACAATGTCAGTCCATTTTGGGCTAAAATAGCACTTATACCTCTCTTTTCCCTACTACATTAGTTTGCAATGCAAACATATGACCTTGACTTAAATTAGTGCTACAATATATAAATAGGAATAGCAACTCACCTAAACAGTCACATAACCTGCTTTTAATCATTTTGTGACATATATTAGAAAAATCTCATCATTTTTATCTAGCAAGTGCATTGTAGGTTTCTTGAAATGTAAATATGTCTATTCATGTCTTTTTAAACATCGAAATAGACTAAGATCAATCAGTGACATTTATAGAAATAATGTAAGTTTTACATGCTCCCTTTGAAATGTAATATGCCATTTAAATTGTAATTTAATTCAAGGTAAATTCTCTCATACTGTTAATAGTGATGCTGTAAGCTACACAGTCTTCCAAGGAGTTTTTTGGATTTAGTCTTAGGTTAAAGACTTCAGGCTAAGTTTAGCAGCTGTCAAAAATAATGCAGTTGAGAGGAAGGCTGTGGAAGTAGGTAAATTCAGGACATTCTGAAACAAGCACTTAGAAAAATTACCATCTGTGAAACACTGACCTACTTCAAAGCTAGGCATAGGTACCACTATCATTATGTTGAAACACAGAAATATTTCCACCACACAAACAAAAGATTTTTATTTAAAAACAGTAGCCTTTCTTAGATATCATCAGATTAATTTAAATTGAAAGAATAACAGATATTATCTGTTAAGCCATATTCCTTACTCTGATTGTCCCATTGGGCTTTATTCTTTCTTTCTTTCATTCATCCATTCAAAAATCCTTATAGGATTTATTATGTTTCCAAGCACTTAGAGAAACAGCTGTGAATTAGACAAAGATCCTGGGCACCCGAGACTTAATTTTATGAAAAAACAGACAATAAAGAAGTAAATAAATATAATTTCATGTCAAGATAAATACTATTTAAATAAAACCAGTAAGCAATAAGCTAGGAAGTGATTGGTATTGAGGGGTACACTTAGATTGGGTGATCTGGAAAGCTCTCTCTTAGGTGTAGTGAGTAGAAACAAAAATGAGTAAAAAGGTCACCTTAATATGAAGAGAAGAGAGAACAGAAAAGTGAAAATGTCACACGTGAAGAATTAACTTGGTGAGTTGAAGGGAGATCAAGACCAGTGATCATGTGGCACAAGGGTGGGGAAGACAGTAGGAGATAGAAACTGGAGAGGTAAGTAGTGGCCAGATCAGGTAGGGTGTTGAAAGCCAAAGCAGGGAGTCTGAATTTTATTCTAAGTGTGCTTACAAATATTTAGAGTTTTAAGCAGGAAATTACAATGATCTTATTTATTATCCCCTGTGAAGCTCTCCTATTTTCTCAGATTAACAAATTCATGGTTCTCTTTTAAAAGTCCAGCTCAAGTATCACACACATTTTAAAGCCTTCTGTTATTGTCAGTGGGGCAGTGGTTGGGTGGTCCTGTTTAACCAGCTTTCCTAGAGATGACTTCTCCCATTCGGTTCTATTCAAGTCAAAGATGGGTCTTAGAGATTGTCTCGTGCTTTGGTAGTTTATTCTGGCATCGCTCTTAAAAGATAGTGGGAAGAGTCTGGGGGCATAAACCAGATACTCAGGGCTCAGATGATCAAGAGAGACTGCAATTAGAGACTGTTTTCAGTGTTGGGGGTTTCTTCCCCCTTTTTAAAACCTGTATTCAGTTGGTCAGTTATCAGATGTTTCTCTCATAAATGGAGTCGAAGCTATTCTTACAAGGGTAAGCTTTAAGGTTCATGAAAGTTGCATCTGTGCTGAAGTGGCCTTGTCTCCTGGAAATCACTGGAAATCTCCAGGGCCAGTTTGTATTACATTGATAAATACATTTAGTATCAGCCCCTCAAGGCACCTGAGTGAGCCTTATGGCTATAATTAATCTTAAAGCCATGATATATCTCTTATAGTATATTTTCCTTAATTTTCCAAGTATCTTCTCTGTCTTTAGTTTTCCTATTTCATACATCCTTGCATTTACATGGTACATTTCTGTACTATAGTACCTTCTGCTTGTTTTCAACTTGTCTTTTCTACTGAACTGTTAACTTCATAAGGTTAGGGACTGTGTTTATCTTCCTGAATGCATAGTTCATAATGCAGTGCACAGCATATACTAATGTTAAGAAAATGATTACTGAACGAACAAATGAGTATTTCAGTTATCCCATAACTTAATGCTTCTGGTCTTAACATTCCTGTCAAATTCCAGTTTCTTATTTTTAAATGCCTACTGACATTTTTAATTGTCTAGTTTTTCTTCAGACTCAACTTCACATACCCACATCTCTTTCCAACTTCTCCATTTTATTTATTTGTTTATTTATTTATTTGAGAGGGAGTTTCCCTCTTGTTGTCTAGGCTGGAGTGCAACAGTGCAATCTCAGCTCACTGCAGCCTCTGCCTCCTGAGTTTAAGCGATTCTCCTGCTTCAGCCTCCCAAGTAGCTGGGATTACAGGTGCCCGCCACCACGCCCAGCTAAGTTTTTGTATTTTTAGTAGAGATGGGGTTTCGCCATGTTGCCCAGACTGGTCTCAAACTCCTGGCCTAAGGTGATCTGCCCACCTCAGCCTCCCAAAGTGCTGGAAGTACAGGCGTGAGGCCCTGCACCTGGCCAACTTCTCCATTTTTATTGGTAATACCAACTTCTTTCTAATTTCCTTAACCAGAAATTTTAGAGTACTATTATTCTTCTCCCGATACTGGGGATTTCCTTTACTCTATTTCATTGACTGTAACCCTAGTTCAGATTTTTATCACCTAATTCCTGGAAAAATGCAACAAAGTGGCTGGCTGGGGAACATTCTGGCTCAAATGTCTTCCCTTCTCAAATCTGTACTGCATGTCTTTGCAAGATCATTGTTAACGAAATATTTTATTAATGACTTCACGCATTGTTCCATTTTCCAAGTATTTTTGCACACTGAGTGTATGACATGCCATTCCCTTATACAAAACCTTACTTAATGCTCACATGAACTAAATGAGAGAGTATTTTTATCTCCATTTTACAGGTAAGTAAATTAGGATTTAGGTTAACTGCCCAAAGTCACAGTTACACCAATCACAAAATGGTAGTTCGTATTTTTATCTGTTTTACAGAAAAGGAAATTAAGATTTAAGTTACCTGCCCAAAGTCAGTTACACCAATCACACCATGGTAGAGCTGAGACCTGAACACAGGTCTTTTTAGTTGAAAACTCTGAGCTCTGCTTAATCATTATGCTAGTAAGTTAGTATACCAAGTTTAAAATCCTTCTTCACTTTGGAGGATTTCCATGATATAGCCTATCAATCCTACTTCCCATTTCTGCTACACTTGGATTTTCTATTTCATATTTCAAATATTTTTCTAGTTATCTCCTGTGCATTGCCCTTCTCTACTTCAAGTAGATTGTAAGCTTCTTAAAACCTTACTCTTATTACACTTGCCTTGCATTTCTATGAAGATCTACACTTGCCTTGCATTTCTATGAAGATCTGTTGTAGATGGCACAGTAAATTCTCAGTGAATAATTTATAAAATCTTTAGCACAGTCCTTGGCACATATGCCTGTTTAACAAATGGTACCAATGATTATTATTACTACGCAGGGACTGATGCATCACATTGAAGACCTAATAGGAAACCAGAAAATTCTGATCTCTTCCTCAGTCCTAAGAACTCTGCTGGCTCTCGCCACAATTTAGACTAGTGGTTTCCAATATTAAGTGAGTACATTTCAGTCTCATAGTCTCATCTCTCTACCACGAAACACTGCCAAGTATGATATAGACATCACCATAACATTAACAACACAGCAAAATTTTGCCCATTACTGCTCTCTTTGAGGGTACCTTGGAGAAAGGAAAATGGAATACTTGTAGTTACCTTTTTGAAAAAATGGTTAATGTCCTATCTATTGACAGATGGATCTACTGATGGATAAACTTCATTTAACTTCAAGGCTTCCTGACTCAAGTTTCTCATGTACAGGACCTACCACTCTTCAGGCATCTCCCCTGTTGTATAATCCCTGCTTTATTTTGGCGCTTCAAGCAGAATTGGTTCACGTGCAGCAATAGGAAAATCCGACATTCGGGCCTTGAATGGTTCACATGAGGCAGTGAAAACGGTCGATTTAGAACCTCCCCAGTCCTGATTTTTTCTTTTTTTTTTTTTTTTTTTTTTTTTTTTTTGAGACGGAGTCTCGCTCTGTTGCCAGGCTGGAGTGCAGTGGCGCGGTCTTGGCTCACTGCAACCTCCGCCCGCTGGGTTCAAGCGATTCTCCTGCCTCACCCTCCCAAGTAGCTGGGATTACAGGCACGCGCCACCATGCCCAGTTAATTTTTGTATTTTTAGTAGAGATAGGGTTTGACCACATTGGCCAGGTTGGTCTGTGAACTCCTGACCTTATGATCCGCCCGCCTCGGCCTCCCAAAGTGCTGGGATTACAGGCGTCAGTCACCACTCCGCACCTCCTAGTCCCGATTTTCAAAGGTATGACGCATGTGTCCGGTTCCCGGGGAGGGCCGTCGAGCCGTCGCGCCGTCGCGCCACATACGTCACACGCTATTCGGAAAGCGTTGCTGCGTAAACGGCGGGGGCGTGTCTTTTGGCTCCTCCGCGTGTAGTTACCTGAGAAACGCGGGAAGTTGGGGCCACGGACTGTTGCTCCGGTTGTCTAAGTTGTTTTATTATTTCTGGAGAGAGCCGTAAGCTTGTGTGGGATCTCAAATCCTGAGGCCGACTCGGTTTCTGGCGCGGTGTGATGGAGGTAGTGGAGGCCGCCGTCGCTCAGCTGGAAACTCTGAAATTCAATGGCACCGATTTCGGAGTTGGCGAAGGTCCGGCGGCGACGTCTCCGGGCTCTGCCCCTGCGCCAGGGACACAGCCGCCGCTACAGTCGTTTGAGGGGTCCCCGGACACTGGGCAGACCGTGGAGGTTAAGACTGCCGGTGAGCAGCCTCTGCAGGCCGTTCTGAACGCAGTAGCGGCCGGGACCCCAGCGTCGCAGCCGCAGCCGCCGCCGCCAGCGGAATCGCCGGCCTGCGGAGGCTGGGTCACCTCTCCAGGAGCCAAAGAGCCTGCGCGGGCCCCGAACTCCTTGGAGACCTCGGACTCGGATTCGGATTCGGACTCGGACAGGTCGGGTGCCTAAGGGACCCGGAGCTGTGGGGAGAGGTCTTGTATGACGGGCGGGGTGGCCGGGGCCTAGGAGCCTAGAGGTTGCCCGTGTGAGCCCTGGAGGGTGGGCAGGTTGCTGGTGCTCTGGGCTCATGTGTTGAAGTATTGGCTGCGACTGCCCTTTATTCGCTGCCTCTCACAGCAGGTCGCGTTGTGAATCTGAACTTAGTACTCACTTCTTTCCTAAATTTGGTAGCCTGAAGAGTTCTATGTATAGATCGTATCATTTTTAGTTAGACTTTAGAAAACCCGAGGATCTCAGGTTGTTTCCGTAACTACTCAGTTCAGGCTGTACTTTTGTGGTTATAATTGAGTTTTGTGTCAGATCTGATTTTTTTTTTTCCCCATTACATGTAGGCTTTGTTTTTTGAACCACATACATTGAGGATCAGGAAAAGGAATATTTTGTGTGTTTCAGAGCTGGTTCTTGACGATTACGTTAATTTGTAGAATCGTTGTAAGGAACACGTGTTTATGAAAGTAGCTAAACAGTGTTATTTAGTAGTATTTTATGCTTCTTACGTTTTGCGAGAGCTTTTCCCCCCTACCCCCACTTCTGTCTTTTAAATACGAAACCTCTGGGCTGGAGAGGACTCCAGCATGTGGGGTGTTACTAAACAACACTGAACATTGTCTACAAATAGTTGAGTGTGTTGAGTGAGTGGGATACTGAACAGGTTAACAAGATAGACACGTGTTGAGGAGGTGAGTAGTTTAGTTTTTAGGGAAGTCGTCAGCAGAGTGGGAGTGAAGAAGGCATGAAGGTAGGAGAGGGTATGAAATGGACTGGGAGGGGGAAGTAACAACTGTAGACAAGGTTGGATTTCTTGGCAGTGCTAAGACTGCGGTATAATCATCTTGTGGGATGTCAGAGCTCATTGTACTAGCAAAGAAAAGTAAATGGTAGATAATTTGGGGATATGTTTTGAAAGCAGAAGGGATATGGCTTCATAATAGGCCAACTTAGTGTCAGGATACTGCTTCTGACTCTCTGTGGGTGATGGCAGAGGATACCAAATATTTGAAGAAGTCAAAAGGGTTACAACTTTTTGTCAGTTAACAGCAGTGGAATCAAATGGAAACTGACGGGGAGAAGCAGGTTTCATTAGTATAATGCACTTTTTCTTGTTTTAACTTGCTGTGAGTGTGAGTGTATAGGCCGTTCGTACAAAGGTGGCCAATATGCCGTCAGAGATTGGACATGAAGTTTAGAGACGTCATAGCCTAAAATTTAGGCGTTAATGTCACATGGATGATGATTGAAATCATTAACATGTACGGGATTATCCATGAAAGTAGTACAGAAAGAAGAGAAAGTGAGGATGGAACCCTTAAAAATAATATATAAAAAGGCTTGAAGTGAGGAGCCAACAAACAAAATTTAAACTGAGACAGTGGTTGCTGTTAACGATAGTTTCTGTGGAAGATAAGGACCAAATGAGTTTTCAGAAAGTAGAACGGTCTACATACTTTAGTAACTGAGGATTTCCCAAGTTGTCTGTAGACTGAGAAGAAACTCAAGCGATCTGGCAATTAAGCGATCTGGTTATTGGTGTCTAAGAGAGGTGCCATGCCCAGAATTCCCTTGTTTTAGTGATTTGTCACATGCTTGCTTATACTCACGTGTATGATATGTGAGACTATTGTAATAAGAGGAACTGGGTTATAGCAGAGGTTTGAAAATGTAAACTAAAGACTACTTTCCCAATACCATATCAGCTTTGAAGTGCTAGCTTTTGAATTAGAACAGCAGTAGTAAACATGTAGTAAAGTTGATATGTTTTAATTGAATAATCTTATTTTAATATTGTTAGAATAAGCAATAATAAACATGTATTAAAGTTGATATTTCTTAATTGAATAATCTTATTTTAATACATAATAATACTGGACTTTTTTTTTTTTTAACTGTTTTCTTCTCTACAGTGAAACAGATTCAGATAGTTCAAGCTCATCATCTTCCTCCTCCTCTTCCTCATCGTCATCTTCTTCCTCTTGTATATCACTTCCTCCAGTGCTGTCAGATGGAGATGATGACTTACAAGTTGAGAAGGAAAATAAGAATTTTCCTCTTAAAACAAAAGATGAATTACTTCTTAATGTAAGTACTTAGATGTATTAAGTTTAGTTGGCATGTTTTAAAACATATTCTGGTACCGATATTGATCTAATTTTGCCTGTATCTGCTCCATAAATTTGAAGTTCATTCTCAGCCTAACCGGCATGCATTTGGCATGCCTTGGCTTTCTTATATAAAAGAGTAGTGATCTGTATAATTTCTTAGGTTACCTCTAACTCTGCTGACATTTGATAATTTTTCCGATTGTGGCTCAACTTCAGCTTTGAACTTTACATTTCTTACATTTCCTAGAAAAAGATATTTCTTATGTCGATTTGCTTTCTGGTGTTTTTTTTTTTTTTAGGGTCTGCAAGTCAGAAAATTTTGCTCAATAGCAATTGAAATTTTCTTTTTAATTGACTGCATTTAGAGAAGTAGAAGGTGAAATTCGAAGGGTTCAGCTTGTTAGGATTCCTATTGAAGTTTTTGGAGTGTTTTTATTATTACAGTTGGAGAAAACTTGTTAATTGTAGAATGGTTGTTTATTGGCACTTGATAGGTTTGGTTTGCAAAGTTAACTCTTGCAAGGTCATTTCCTCTTACGCTGTAAACATCCTTAGGAGGATGATGTTAGTCTGATTGAAACCTATAACCCAGGAGGAGAGTCTTCTCAGAATTTCAGAATGTAGGCTATATTACCACTTTTTTTTCCACCTCTGCATATACTTTTAATTATTAATGCTTTAAAAATATTTAATGGTCACTAATCATAATTCTTATATAACATTTACATTGATGAGATAGTTTAATGCAAGATTTGAAAAAATAAAGCCTACAGGCATTCAGGAACCTTTTTCATGAATGGATTCTACCAGTCTTAATTATTTCTCTTTTTCTCTACTGATAACAAGAAATTCTTATCTCGCTTATGCTTTATACATCGAAAATCTTTGGATTTGTATGCAGCTTCATCAGTGGCTCATATTTTCGTGCTACAGATACGTTAATATTTCTTAGTGGTCTTTGTACCCAAAGGCTACCAACATAACTATTTTCTGAAAGTAGGAGACTTGTTTCGTCGTTTTTGCTTGTCTCTTGATCACCTGTCTACGTAAGTTCCTTTTAGACTATAATAACCAACAAAGAAAAGACCACAGTACTTCTGTAAATGCATACATATCGTTGTCTTATCTTACTAGATTTGGAATTCTTACCTTGGGAATTTCTTCAAATTTAATGCAAAGTCTTAGCGTATTTGTTTAGGTGTTTTTTCTGAACAGAATGTCCCTGTTTTCTTCAGGAAATCACAAAGGATTTGTGGCCACAGGGAGTCTAGGAACAAGTTCTTTGAGGACTGAGTTCATATGTGATCCTTGTAACTCCCATAGTACCCAGTGGAGTGCTTTACAGATAATGAGTTCTCAGGCCAAGGTAATTTATGATTATAGAATGAGTGTGAGGCATTTTATATTTATTAATTCTTTAAGAAATTATTATAGCACACCTGCCATTTGCCAGGTGCTGTAAACAAGACCAATCCAGTTTCTGCTCTTGTAGTGTCTAATGGAGGGACACAGAGAGTAAATAAAGTGGAGACAAACAAATTTAATTGCTAAAAGTGCTATTGAATTGTGTGAGTGTATGTTTGCCTCAAAAGACAAAATTCCATTTGAATGTTGTTAGATTTTCCAACTTGGAATGATGGGTTGGTCTGTTCCTTTCTGAGACCATTTCAATGGATCTTTGGGAATGATGGAAGATGGAATTGTAGTCTTTATTTGGGAAACTTATTAGAAGTCCTTCAGACCACTGTGCTACTAGAGATAGGTAGAGGAATTGATGAGTTTCCCAGTCTGCACTAAATCTCTGGCTTATAGGTCTGAAAGAAGATATAAGGACTTCTTCAGGGTTTCAAATCTTAAGTTTGGGGGAGAAGAATGGCTTTGTCCTGAGTACAAAAGATAGTGTATAGTTACAGGTATGTAGTGTTTTAAGAGTCTGCCTCTTTCTCAGGGCTGGCATTTTGACCACTGACAGACTCTTGCATGAAAGTCATGGAGATGACTTTTGCTGGCCTATGCTCTGTTACACAGCCTTGAACAGATCATTGAGGCTAGTGGAATGGATTTTCAGATTGCTTGGCTGTGAGTCACGTAGTCACTCCTGTTTGTGTAGGCGAATGTGTAGGAGAGAGTGAGGAGAGCATGTGTAGGAAAATGAACACTTGAAAGCACGTGGGCTAGTGCGAGAGGGTGGGAGTCTGTAAGAGCTAGTTGACAGAAAGGGAGTGTGAATGTGTATGTATTGTGAGGAGGGTGGGATGTTGGGTGTAATATCAGCCCCTATATAAACCACATGGAATGGTTTATCTTTCACAGGAAAGGGAGCTTATATCCATTCCAAAAGGGGATGCTGGACAGACAGTAATAATGGGTTATACTCTATGGAGGGCAATGGAAATACTTGGAAATGGTTATCATGTATGATTTATGTTGGACTCATTGTTATGAAGAACAGAGACTCATATTACCTCAGGAGAACTGGAGGTTTATTAGAAAGCAGCTGGGAACGAAGGCAGCTATGAAGGCTAGTCACACTGTTTCTTTTACATGCCTCTGAATAGTCTCACAGTTATCTGTCATTTTATTCTTTCATTATTGACTGGCTTCCTCTGTTTATCTGTAGATTTTTTTTGTCGGGGGAGGGGATGGGAGGACGGACAGAGGTTTGCTCTTGTCACCCAGGCTGGAGCCCAGTGGCTGATCTCGACTCACTGTAACCTTCACCTCCCGGGCTCAAGCGATTCTCCTGCCTCAGCCTCCCAATTAACTGGAATTACAAGCGCCTACCACCCTGTCCGGCTAATTTTTGTATTTTTAGTAGAGAGAGGGTTTCACCATGTTGGCCAGACTTGGCTTGAGCTCCTGACCTCAGGTGATCCACCCACCTTGGCCTCCCAAAGTGCTGGGATTTCAGATGTGAGCCACTGTGCCTGGCCAGATTTATCTTTTTAATTCTAGCTTATACATGGATTTCAGTATCTCTGGCTCTAAAAATGACGTCTTTTGCTTTCAGTGTCCCATGAACTGGCTATTAGTGTTGTATTTCCTTGCTTACTTTTGGGACAATTCTGTTATTTAACTTAGTTTTTTTTTTTTTTTTTAAAATGACAATCCATTCTTTCTGGGAAGTGTCTCCTCTCCACAACTAGTACTAGCTGGTGTGGTATGTGCCATTTTGTTCAGGCCTCCTGATATGTCACTTAGACTTTTAGGCAGCAGAGGTTGTGTATCTTAGCTAGATGCAGCGTCAAGCTCTATGTGGGCTATTAATTTAACTATCTAACAAAATTCTGAAGAAAATTAATGAACTTTTCTGCTAAAAGGTATACACAAATTAAAACGTGCCAAATAGTTAAAACCAATTTTAGAATTTGTGCTGGACCTTCAGGGATCTGGACATAGACATGCCCAATTTAGCCCAATTTAACCCAATTTTACATCCAACCACTTTCTAAAGTGTTTTCTAACAGTTTCCTGTTGTCACTTAGGCATGCGTAGCTGAATTTTTACCTCCATTTAGTCTGTGCCTCAAGCAGGAATGTCACCTCTCTGGATCTATCCCTTTAAATCTTTCCATTGTGGGTTGTTCGATCTCTGTGATCTAACTATGTACAATGCAGATCTTTAGGTATATGAGAACTACAGTGAAGCAACTTTATGATTGTTCTTAAACCTTAGAAAGATGTAAGTTTTAAAATAGGTCATAACCAAACCTTGCCATCCCAAGATGTGGTTATAACCCAGTTTTTCTTTTTTTAATGTGAAGGTGTGGTAAGGGGGGAAGAGAGTAAAAGAGGAATTAGTGAGCTATAGTGGCAGTGAAAAAGGAGAGTCTTAAGTGGCTCACTTCATAATGTCACAAATAATAAGTTTAACTAGATAAAATTATTCTTTTAAACATAAATAATTCTTTAATGCTCAGAAGGTTTATATATAACCTACACAGTCACTGTAAGCAGCATACATATTACAGCTTTGGAACTACATTGAGCCGCATAGGATATATTTAGTGTTTCGATGAATTGGAAAATTGAGGTTCTTTTTAAACAATTTTCTCAGCAGTTTATGCCCTGAACTCTTCATTCAAATGTATCAAGTGTAATTGAAAATGTAGGGTCATAAAAACATTTGGGATTATAATTTTTAAAGTCTTAAACAGAAATGAGTTTTATAAATTAGTGCCCATTGTTTTCTGAAAACCTGAAAATCTTCACATAACATTTTAAAAATATAAGCACAATGTTTATGGAGATAAGAAATGGATAATACTTCAATAGGGATAATAATGTGTATTTAGTCATATAATGTAGCATGACCAAGAAAAAAAATTAATACTTCTTGGCAATTTTGGGGGAAATTTAGGTGTCATGCTTTGGTGACTGCTTATTTCATAAAATAAGTACATTTAGTAGTTAAGTTGAGTACACTCTACTCTCCTGATTGTGGCAGTATGGACACATTCTAAAATGTCCTAACCTGAGTGTATGGAAATATCTGGACCACCTCAAGCAGTTAGAAGTTGCACTAGAATATTTCATGCCTGTTTGATCTCCCATCATATATGAAATTGTATTGCATCTTGGTCTACACTTAGTAATTATCAATTGAATATATTGTTTTCAAGACCTAACTTGGTTTATAAGTTTTGTCCTGAATGCAGGCCTTTTTTAACTTAGGCTTTTATTACTATATGTATATTTTGAACTATTAAATTCTATTTTAGAATACACTTTGGTAGCACTTATTAACATTCTTCCCAAAGTGCTTGTTATTTAAGCAATGGTTTATATACTTAAAGGAGATCATTTTTCATTAATATTCAATAGTGTTCTTCAAAAATAATTAATTGATTTTTTAAATTAAAGTTTTATATTTTACAGAATATTTCAGTAAAGCTTATGTGAGGCATGAATGATTCCATAAACATTAAATAAATACTGTCTCATTCAGTAGAGTATCCATTTATGTCCTGTGTATATA